ATTCAAACTGCAGCAGAAATTTTCTTGTTCAAAAAGAGGGAAAGAGAATCTCTGGCAAAAAGGAAACATACCGAAACACAATATACCCATGACCCTTGAAAAAACCACATAATACTATAACTAGAAGCTCAATCGTGATAATTTTATCGTGGTTTTCAAAAACCACGATAATTTTCCTCGGAAATTATCAAGATGAATCAGTTATCTTCGGTAATCTTACTAGTTATTGCTATAGCAATAAATGAAAGAACATATATGTTCTTTCATATCAAGACAGAACACGGGAAAATTAATCTTCTCATTGATCGGGATAAAAATTTAATCGCAATACTTTTAGCTTCTTGTCGAGATGACCCTTTTATCACGAAAATACTCGATAAAAATCTATTGGAGTTTATCGCGATACTTTTGCTTTTGAAGATAAAAATCACACATACAACGATAGTACTTTTATCGCGATAAAGTCCGATAAATATTAATCGCGGTTTATTGACATACTGGTATTTACAACGCTAAATGACTTGTATACCGCGATAGTTTTGCCTACTGCGTTTTATCGAGAGACTACGATAAACTGCACTCACTTTTATATCGCGACAGAGTTGCTCATTATCGGCACATTTAGCATAATATCTCGATATATCGCAAGTTTTCAACAAAAATTCCCCTCATGAGTAGTATTACTCTAGCAACACATTAATGGTTTCTATCGAACGATGTATGAACCAGCTGTTGAATATATCTAGTTCTTTTCAGTCATACATTTGTTCGTCAGTAGGAAGTGTAAACTACTCAATTAGTGTGTGGACTGTCGAAAATATAAGAGAATTTCTCCGGTGAAATTCATTGGATGAAAGTTTTGGGATTAGACAAGGACTAGATGAGATTTCATTTCCTGTTTTCGTTTTTGTCGGCCCTGCTACAAGTACCGAGATATTCACAAAAGCAGCGCCATCTATAGTATAGAATGGTGAATATCTCGGTACTTGTAGCAGAGCCGATAAAAACGAAAACAGGAAATGAAATCTCATCTAGTCCTTGTCTAATCCCAAAACTTTCATCCAATGAATTTCACCGGAGAAATTCTCTTATATAGCAAATAATTATCAACAGTCTACATACTAATACTTCAAACTAGAGAGTTCAGGCTTGTTTTATTTTAAACTAGACACCTAACTACGTGGACTGACAGGCGTCGATTTTTCAATCAAGCCTTTACTGGTTTTCCAGGCAACCAACAACCTCCAAAACCTGAAAAATCCCTCCGGATTTTCTAAGGGATTTTCTAAAACTCCTCAGTTTGACAAAAAACTAAGGTCTAATTCAAAATCGACGCCGGCCAGTCCATGTAGTTTCTTTTCCTCTTTTAAACAAAAAAAGAATGAACTCTCTACGGCAAACCGCTATTAAAAATCTTGGGACGCACTTAGGTGTAACTCTTATATAGAGAACACGCTGTATTAAACGCTGTATGAAATACTTGATTTTAAGACTTCTAGGAAAATGCCTGTAACTTTTGATGCAAGGTCATACAGAGTTGTGCGAGGTCTTATTTTGATCAGAAACGTTTGCTCTACAAAGCTGTGTTTTCAGGAAAATTTTAATTGCATAAGTATTCAGGAAAAAACTATTATTTGAAGACCCAGTTTTTCGAGGCTCTTAGAAAACTTGCTAAAAATCCCCGAAAAACCAGTTTTATAACTAAAAGCAATACAGATTCTGGAAGCAGGCACTTCAGGCTATCTTTCATGTGCCTATCTCAAAACCGATATTTTGACCAAAAATCATTATTTCTGGGGGGGGCGGAGGGCCTTAAATAAGTGAACAGGGAAAAAGATGTTCGATAAAAACAAATACGTTAGTATTCTTTTTCTATATATCTCATTATTCAGTTTGATTTTATCGAGATGATACAATTACTTTGTTGACACTAATGTAGAGGTTTAGAGGAAGTCTCGATCATATATGCGATACATATATATGAGGCGATCTTAGAATCAGTTTAGTGCGGATGTCGAAACATCTAGATAGAAACTTGAAACTGATATATGGAAGTAGTACCAAATGCAGTCAACTAAAAAAATAACATTCACTGCATGTTTCGTAGTATTCCTTTCCGTATTTTCCTTTAGGTTAAGTTATTCTGTAGAAAACGATCACGTTTTGAAAATTAAGCAAACAATTATGTTTCCATACCACATTCTTACCTACCCAAGAACAGAAAAAGCATCGAGTATCGCAGAATGCATCTTGGTGGTCAATTTACTGGTCGACGCATATAGATGCAGATGAATGTTTCCTTCGATGCAACTAGATAGTATTGACCATGAACTGACATTTTCATCGAGAAAAGCTCAGTGCATTCAAAGATATTGGGCAATACATCGACCGATGCAGGTAACTCGATGCTCTAGCTGTAATATCTAGATAAAACAGTAAAAAATATCGACCGATACTCCAGCTAAAGCACCTAGATATTCCAGTGGAGTACTTTTGCTTGGGTATATTCAAGCAAAACCTATTCTTTGTTTTATTTGATCCCATGTCAACTGAGTTAACGTCACATCAATTAAGACAAATAATTTGTAAAATTTGATTTCATTCAACTTGTATTCTGTTGTAGTAAGACCGTCTAAGCTGTAACGGTAGTTGAATGTCAGTAAGTCATGTCGATGAGGATTTGGCTCACTGGTCGTATGATCACCATTTTGAATCATTTTGTATCGACCGACGTCTATAGGTGGTCGAGTGATATTTTGCAATTTCTTCATAACACGATTGTACATATCTAAAAGAGGAAGGGAAGAACTGATGTGTTAACTACGAGAGACGGGTCTCACCATCATCCTCTCCACCCCATCCTTGATAGACTGTTGCAAAACCATTAACATCGATAAAATCTTTTCGTCGAAATGCCGTCACACCGCCAAACAGTCCTGGCCACAATAATTGATAATCGAATTTATCCACAGCTACAGACAGATGTCGAGGTTTATTTTCACACGTGTACCAGTTTCTGTCATCTTCTGGTAGAAGATCAACGTCATGAAAGATGAAACAAGTGTAATTGTACAATTTAATTGACTCCAAATAACCAATATTTGACAAAAGTGCACGATTAAATAAATTATTATCTAAAAGTATGAGAGATAGAACAATTTGAATATCAAAATCCTCTCACGTACCATGTTGATTAACGACGAAAATGGTATAATCCAAAAGCTGTCGTTGTAAAAATGGATGAAGATTGTTTAAGAGGAGCTTCAAATGTTTTTCACGATTACGATAGCTGATAATAATTGCCAAACGACTATTAGCTTGACACTTCTTAGGCCACCAGTGTCCCGACAATATATTCTTGGAAAAACTAGCTGACTCCATTTGATAATAATCCAATATTTCATGTCTTATCGTAACAACTTGAGGTAATTTTGTAGACTCATTTTGATCACAAAATGGCATTGTAAAGTAGGTATTATCTGGTGCTACGTAGTTTTTTGAGAAGTTGCTTTTTGGTGAATGTCTGAAGATCGATATGTCCACACTGAAACGAACGAATCCGTAAAGATCAGAAGAAAGATGCTATTGCTAACGTACAAATTTCCTTCATACGTAATAGAAATCAATGTTGATTAAACTATAATTTTAGATAAATCTGTTAGTCAGTCTCATCCTTCTGAACATGGTAGTTCTTTCTAACGCTGTAGGGACGGTCGTCGTCAAATCTTTTTCAAATCGGCAAAACTACACCAGCTAGCCATCTGTTTTCATACCATTGGCAAGCTCTGAAAAAATGAAATGTTGCTTGCTCTATTCCATTCGCACTTACGATTCATTATATTGCATGTTGTTCCATGTCATCGTTAGAAATCTGTTTTGATTTCGCAATTCTGTTATATACAAGGTTTGAAAAACGATAATAATGCAGAGACATGAAAGTTTGAAATCGTAGTTTCTAAACATAATTTGCTTGATTTATTTGGTAACTAAAAAGTCTGTTAGGAATAATTACGATAAATGATGTCTAAAAGCGACCGAGAAAGAAAATAATGGGGATCGAAATCATCTACAATTCTTCGTAAAATAATGCCGTACGTCTGTTCTCATCTCCTCCCATTCCTTATAAGCATTTCCACATTTTATCAACTTTACGCGATTTAATCATTAAAGAAATTCCAATCATATTTTCCACTATAGAGATAGAAATAAGATAATAATACAATAGGTGTAACTTTAGTTCGTAGATCGAACATAATATCCTAAATCTTTGTAAGAAACAATTTATATTCTCTTTCATCTGCTGAGTGAAACTGGCAAGATGAAACTGTTTAGATACAAGACAATACGAAAACGTTCGTCATTCGAAGTCGTTGCTTAGAAAACTTCTCATCAAGGCATACAAATTAACTTTTTTAATCACATATCACTTACGTACTTTAGCGGTATATTTTATCTTTTACTTTTTTTGCTTTTATGCGAATAATAGCAACTTCGATACATCCTAGCACAATCATCATGCATGAGTAGTTTCCATGTGAAAGATACACAAAATATCTAGCGTGTTAGAACGTCAAAGAAAGAAGGGAGATTAAGTATACCTCGCTTATATTTTTCACAAAATAGTATTAGTTTTCAACTGTTTAAGGTGGTTATGTTAAATAAGTATGATTGTTCTGATGTCGCTAGATCTATGATTGTAATGATGTGAGTCGGCTTTAGCCATGCACCGATATTTGCCGGTATCTTTTATCGTTTTTCTTAATCAGATTGATTACAAACTGTAATACATTAAAGAATTTCGAGCAAACAAGCACTGGTTTTTATTCCGCTTATTTATACGTGATTAGATAGAGTGCGTGGAGATGAGTAATAAAAGATTGGTTTTAGTCTTTTGGAAGGTTTTTTAAGAAAACAAATTAAAAAATACTAAAATGCCTAAATTTCTGAGAAAACGCTAAAGTTTTAAGAAAAATAAAATTTTCGTCTTTTTCACTCTTTTAAGAGTTAAAAATTATTTTTCTCACATTTAACACAAAAAAACTGAAGAACGCTGTCTGATCGAGTTTGATTCGAGATGTCCATCTGATTTGATAGACTCGAATGGACCCGTTAAAAAGACCATATGCATTTTGCGTAGTTACCTAGTTTTTTCAACTGTAAGAGACAACGTTTTTCTTTAGTTGATTCTATGCCCCAAAGCTTGGAGCACAAAAAGGAAAAGATGGTTTGCGAATAGATGAATTCATGAATATAAAATATTTATCTTCTCTAATGTCACATGATTTATCAACTGATCACGTTCGAATGGATGATACAATGTGTATGTAAAAACCGTCTAATTGTTCCATAGTAAAAATATCGATGTTCATTTTGAATATATCTCACATTATGGATCAGCTACGGTAGTCTTGTTTCGTTCATTGGAATGCCATTCACTTGTTGAAAGATAAAATAATAGTTGACATAATCATTTTCTCATACAGCTGCGCGAACAAGATATTCAAACTTCTCATAAGCATACGAATCAACCTCAACGTTGACAAATCAATAGTACTATCTCACTAGTACTTTACTCGACTGTCGTATATTGGTCGTACTCCTTTCAGATAAAACAAAACTAGAATTACATAGAAAAATACCAACACACTGCATACATGTTTGTATGAATAATGAAATAGCATGAAGAATGAGATAGACAGAGGAACAACGAAAAGAAAAATGATAAAATATCAAAATAATATAAAAATGTATATTAGATAGAGATACAAATTATTTAAATATTAATATGAAATACTAGTGAATGCTTGAGTATTAACGTTAGTCCATGCCTTCCAAAAATTCTGAGAGAGAAAGAGATTGTGAGTTTGGTAGATAAACATTTATTATTTACTTCCGTAGATAGCTTCACAAGAACCTCATTACAAAATTACAAACAATTTACAGTTCATATACAGCAGTTCATATTCAGAAAATCTTAAGGTGACCCGAAGCATCATATTCCCAATAAGAAGTGTAAAGTCTATTTTATGAGAGCTATCTGCGCATCACAAATAGTCATCGGCGACAAAATCGATGTATAATTTGAAAGACGACTCTGTTAAAGACTAGAGCGACAATCAAGAACTAATCGTTGTAAAAAGAAGTACTGATCCTTCCAGTAAATTCCCAAATATCTCCATAGTTCCAGCTTAACCGGCAGCTGCTCATTCACAATGTCTGTTTTTGCTACAGACGTATTTCGCCTGAGTTTGTTAACAATTTAAAAGCTATCATCTAATGTAACGTACGACAGAGAATATTAGTCCTTATCAATTAAAAAGTTAATGCTGGAGTGGCATGCGGTATTGACCATGCCAAATCTCGTGACTATGTTTGTATTTTTTGAAAAAACTTCATAAGCCTAGTGAAGGTCTGTATTAAGTGAAATAATCTATTTTTTTGCTACTTTCGTAGAAAATTAAAAAATTCATAATTTAATGAAAATTTATCCTAATTACTTCAAAACATCCAGATATACCCTACTTTGCATGCATTACACCATGGAATCCGATAAATAGAACATAACCGAATTTCTTAAAAGATTTTCTAATGATCTCTAGAACTAGATAAGTTTTTCCCTAGTCGTAAGTGTAGAATCAGGTTAAACGAATATTAATAATAAATTTAATAGAACAATATTAATAAAACGAAAAATATTACGATATCTACTCTTTTAAAAAAAGGGTTTAAGTGAGAGCATCGTACATGTCTTTTTTTCCAGTTCTTGGAACAATACCCCGTTCTCCCGCTTTAATGAAAAATATGTCAGATAGTGACAAGTTGTCACATTTCAGAGTTATTAACGATGAAGTTGCTTAATTGTTTTAGAAATAGCTTTTACTGGCTTTGACCGTCACTATTGTTAACTGAGAAACCTAACTTGTAGAACGTGTCTTCGTACGGCAAGAAGTTTGGCGTAAAAAAATGTTTACATCTTCTCAATATCTTGTTAAATATTGAATATTTATATTTATTTAAAGTTTCTCTGATGTCTTGTATTTCGACATTACGTTTGTAGCATACGAAACAATTTGAGGGTTCGGCGTGAAACCCAATTCTTGAACTCTAAAAAGGTTTCTCCTGAATCCTTCTTTTCTCTAGAGAGGTGTTTTCTTCGTTTTCATATTTTTTTAATTGCTGTTAAAGATGTCTTGTTTATACAGTACAGTACTTATTTGTTCTTTCCTTCTTTTTTCAACCTAGCGTCAAAAAAAAATCTAGTATCGCCCGATTCATCTAGATTATTAGATTTTTACTCGATTGCAACTACTGTGTAACGACAGTAAAAATCTAGTAATTGGGCGATTACTAGATTTTTTCTAGTTGCAACTATTGATTTATCGCCCGAGAATCGATCGATTTAACTATTACTAGACGCACCTGCAGGCGCATCTAGTTAAAAGTCCCTTTTCCAACTAGTAATCTAGATGACAACTAGTCGTGTATCGCCCGATTACAGGCGAAATGTATCTAGATTTTTCCCATAGGTGATATTTACTTGGGCACATATATCTATAAAATTATTTGTTTCTTCTTATTTGTTATGGCTTGTTTTTTCCTTTTCGCATTTCCATGATGTATCCCTATTTGGAATATCGAAGTTTCATTAAATATACTTTCATTCGTTAAACTTTTTTCATGCAAAAATTCATTAAAACTTTTAATGCAATTTCCAGTGTGTTTGGTGATCCTGGATTTTCATTAAAAATTTTAATGGAATTCTTGTGCCATCCAAAATTTTCTATGAAACTCCAGGTCACAGTCACATTGCAGGAGAGATTTTAATGAAAGTTCGGTGAATAGGATATAAGTTAAAGACCCAAAAATAAGTGTATTTAAGCAGATAAAACGAGTAAAACAGGTATCTTTTGCTAACCGACGTATATATATATGTATTAGATAAAATTTTTGTGCAATCAAAAAATTTTAATGAAACTTTGAATTGATGTTATTTGTGAATAAAGATCCCTGTCTAAGTCTTTTTAACCTTTTTTCTACGTTAAACATTTTTTCTCGAACAAAAAAGAACCAGTCCGAGGGCTATTACTCCCAGATCTCGGAAGCTAAATATTTTGAAGGTATGTGAATGTTACGGGCGGCTTGAGCTCGTGGACATTACGTAGTGCACCAAAACGAACTAAAAATATTCTTAAAATAGAGTTAGAGATCAAAAATACTTAATTTCCACGGTTTTCCCTATGATAGAAATACTCAGCGGAATGTGTCGCAGCCTCAATGGAAAAAATGTGTAGCGGTGTCGTAGATGATTATGTCGCAATTTGCGGCACATGTAACACATTGTGTAGTGTAACCTATTGATCTGTTCTTATTTCATCCCGCGTAGTCAGTCAAAGTCATTCCAGAAAAGCGCAGGAAACTCTGTTTACGAAAAATTTTACGCATTTAGTGAGTTTCGAATAATAACACGCAAGAAGCTGCGAATATGTAAAAACAGAAAATTCAATTTAAGTCGATATCATCAATGCATTTGCTTCATACCTTCAATCATCCCATCTTCCTTCATCGAACAAAATTGTGGCAGATGAATTTTCTACACGGCTTATTCTCACACGTCCGTTTGTACTTTTATGTGCTAGAAACATTTTAATGAAATCTGAAAAACTCTCTTTTTTTATTCGAAACAGAACTCATTCTTGTTTCTCCAAAGACAATGTCAAACTATCGTAGATTGACAGCGTATAGGATATTTCTCTGACTGAGTATTCAGAAAATTAGACCTAGAAGAACTTGATCCTTAGCGAGTTTTGACGGAAGCAGCAAGAAGAACTCTTTAGAATCTTTAATCCCTGAATCCCACTTTTTTCACATATTTTCTCCAATAAGAATAAAAAGAGTTATGATGATTCATACAAAAGTATTCATCATGTTTCCTGGCGAATGATTTCTTGATCTTTAATCATATCACAGATAGTGCTTTTTTGACTTGATAATTCAAAGTTATAATCGATGTTCAAAATTCTCTAAAAACCGTTCGACGCTCGACAAGCGATTATATAGGTAATAGAAAGAATGAGACATTTAGTGTTTTTGTGAGAAATGTAGAACTCGGATCACGCTTGATCGATAAATAGTGGACTATCAAACGTAGTAATCATTTAATGGATTGGATTCAGATTTGCGTGTAGTCATTAACAAATAGATATATAATTCTCTGAGATTAAAAATGTAAAATTCAGGCTTTTATCTGCTTGACTGGTGCATTACCGTCTAACTGTAATAATATTATTATTTTTGCGTCTGACTCATGCAAAAGAAGGGGAAAAAACCAAGACAAAAGGAGGCAAAAAGAAGAAAAAAAAAATGCGAGACACAGAACGAGTAACCTCAATCATTTTCCTTTTTTTCGAAAAAAAAGGATGTAGAAGCTGGTTAGAATCAATATCATATAAACAGATTCAGAAAGAAAATTATATTCTTCAAGAAAAAAATTGTATATTTCCAAGCCAGTTTGAGATTTGAAATTCGGTACGTTTATACTGTAGTGTCTAATTTAAGATGAAAAAGAGAAAAAGGATATATTATACTATTTAACGAGTCACGTCTTTCTTTAGTCTACAAATCATTCGAGTCGATGTCTAGAATATGCCCCTGTTTCTATATCATAGCTTTTAAACAAAAAAGTAATTATTGACTTGCTCTAGAAATATGTGTAGTACTGTCAATTATCTGATTTGCAAGCACTTCAGAAATATCCGATCAAGAGGATTTTCGAATAGTTCAGTATATATGTTATGAAAAACAGAAACTTTGAAAGTATATTGAAACAAAAACTGTTATTTTGATAAAATTCACATAAATTCAAAATAAAATAAAGTTGAGATGCCAAATATAATTTAAATAACGCACGACTATAAGCATTTGCATTTGCTCAGTTGGAAATTTCCAAGGTAATAATTTCTTCATTCATATGGAATAGTGTTGAGTAACAAACGAAAATAACATACTTTTACCATTTTTTTTCTTTCTTCGTACACAGTTAACGATAGTAGAAAAAGCAGTAGAAAAATAAAAAATAAAAATTTCTATATTCACCATCAACGACTGTTTATCGTCCTTCTCCATCTTTTTTCTTCCTTCTCGCTTTTATAAATAAAAGTTCTAAAGTAAGATAATAGCAAAATTTAAAAACCGTATATAAGTTTTTTAACGTAAACTATTTACTTTAGGAGAGTATTCTTTCAGTTCTCTAACATGTTTCTCGATTGTATATAGTCATTAGAGGCATTAACAATCACTCACTCATTTGTTGTAGGATTTAGAGACTATGCACATATCATTTAATCATTTTCCCACACTGTATCCTTTCATGCTGCTTATCCTAATTTCATCCATTTTCGTCAATACTGACTACGTAATACGATGAAAACCGTTAATGTGAAAGTATCATTTCAGATATGGCCAACAATTTTAATCCTCAAAGTTTCTATGCACCAATGACATCTGACGCACGAGGAACTCATAACTCAACTTCCTCGTCTAGTACTTTGCCCTCAACTTCCTCGTCTATTACTTTGCCCTCAATTCCCAGTCCTCAGTCTCAATCTGAGTCTGCTCGGAATACCGCAACTTCATTCCAATCTAAAATACAAAATGCACAACAATCCTACAAGACGTTACCGAAATCCGAACCCATATCAAATAATAAACCGTCAGACACTTTGCCAGAAACCGGAGAAATCATATTTCTTCGGCTTGATCCGTATCTTGAAGGCGAAGAACGCGAAAAGTATAAATACCTCGCCGCTCCATCACTGTGGAAGTTTTATCACAACGCAAATGACTGTGAAAATCTTTTACGAAGCGAATGTCGAGGAAAACATGTTTTTTTAATATCGTCTGGTCAACTCAGTCAACAACTTGTGCCGACTGTTCATGATCTACCACAGCTTACTGCTGTTTACATCCATTGTGGTGACGTTGAACTGAATAAAAAATGGAGTTGTAATTTCAAAAAAGTGAAACTTGTTTGCTGGGATGATGACAAAGAGTTATTTCCTCAACTGTTCAACGATGTTATGCAAATGTACGTTGAAATTGGAGACAATTATATGCGAGAAAAAAAGCGGGACGACGCACGCGAAACTTATATTGTGGCAATGGAGAAATATGGCGAATTGTTCCCAGAAAATCCAAAATATGAAGCGTTTCTTAAGAAGTTGCAGGAAAAAATGGATGCTAAATAATGTAAGAATAGATGATGCTTTAGTAATATATTATGGACTTATTCTTAGTCAGCATCTTTCACATTCTGTAATCATATAGTCAGAAGTAGCATTCATCTGGGATTTCAGACCCTTGACTAAAAGTGTTTTTATATCGTGATTGCATATGGGTCTACTAACGGAGCAATATCGTTTCGATTATCTCAACAATGATCGTTTTAATGCTTTCTCTTCCCTCCTACTCACATCTTATTCAAAACTTTCTTTCAGTTGTTTTCTCATCATATTGTTTTCTTTTTTTTTCTTTCATCGACTTATATATTTCATATCGATTTTGCATACGCTCGTTTTAGTTTCAGCAACTATTCCCAGCTTCGTATTTTTGTGTATTGTCGGTGTGTTCATCATCTTTAATTATGTTCAATCAATCAAGACTTTTTCATATAAAAATCTCTTCATAGCACGATTTCTAAGACAAGAAAGAGTGTTTTTATTGAAATAATGTATGTGGATTTCTTTTCACGAATATAAACTAAAAGTTATGCTTTTCGATTAAACAAGCGGTTATTCATCAGATCGTCAAGGGTGTTGGTGGAACTAGTTTATCGGAATGTATTGAATTAGACCATGTGTAAGCTGTTTCTGGTTACCAAATCACTTTTTTTTCTGAAGAAAACTTTCATCTGAAAACTTTCAAATCTGTATAGTTGCAAAGTGAAATTAAGAAATAGTCATCAATGCACTTAAAATCCATAGTCCAATCTCTACCACATTTGTTACTGGTTCACAGAAACAAATAAAAAGCTTATCCCAAATTCCTGTGACTGTTGCCACGTAAAACCTCTATGTTAGCACAAAAAATCGAAAGTGCGTAGATGATTACATTATTTTCACTTATAAACGCCTGCGTTTCAAGGCAAGATGAATATTGAAATAAAATAATTAGCGTTTTTCTATATCAAAAACAGTTTACACGTCTTATTTGTTTCAGTCATTTCGATTCTCCAGCAATTCCGATAAAGTCATTTTCTGAACGTTTTTTTTATGGCTGGCGACTTGATGATATGATGAGAGAGTATTCATATGAAGGGAGAAGAAAAGTGCCGAATGTGAAACGTCAATTTGTTCAAATTGCTCTATGTCATTTTTTATTTAATTTTTCAGGCATACTTTGATATTGTATACCGTATCTAAGACGTATTCCATTAACCGCTTATTGGAAAAACAGTAGCTAAACATCGTTGTGAATAACTCTTTACAGCTCAATCGATTTTCTTAATTTTTATTTTATTTGATATCGTATAATCACAATCAGGGTTTGCGATTGTTTTTAATCAGGGTGGAAGATTTTCTCGACGGACAGTTTTTTTTCTAAACAAGTGAAACATTTCGTCATTGAAAAGAATTTTTGTTACTCCGCTATAAAATTTATTTTTTCAACGAAAACAATAGTTAATTTTCATCCGAGTCAGCTTACAGAAATAACGATATATTTTGTTCTTTGGCTCGCCCTGGATAAGAAATAAAATCTTTTATAACAAAATTAAAACTGACGAAACGCCACAGATAAGAGTTTTCAGTCTACCGTGATTGAAACGGTAGCATTCATCTTACTGTCGATATTGAAAATTTCCATCTTAAGTTGTCCTTCTATTTTGAAGGTCTACCACTTATTTTGACGGACAATGAGAGTTTAAAAGACTGTCTGCCACTATTTTGACAGGTAGTTTGTAGCTGTTAATAATGGCTGTCGGTCTTTACAGTTTATCGAATCAAATACTTGCAAAGTAAGCGCAACATGTGTTGTGCTCACGAAAAGGTTGGACAAATTCTAGGCAGAACAAAAGTTCCAAAAATCTGGCGGACAGTGTCAAAATATAGGGTGGGGAGGTCCCCCACTTCTCCACCCTAATCGCAAACTCTGATCATAATCAACTCTAATACATAACCATCCTTTTCGAAATGTTTATTACATGAAAAGATTTAATTCTTTTTATTTCAGATAAAATGTCAGTACCCTAGTGAAAAAGCTTCCTCATTGATAAACTTTATTTATTTGGAAGAAATGTTGAAAATATCTGTAAAAATTATGAGAAGAAGTAGGCGAACCCATTACATCTTAACATAAATTGGCTGAGAACAGAGGACAGTCTAGAATACATGTATAGAAACGATACACGGCGACAATATAAAAGAGAGAAAGTAATGATAACAACAAGATTAATAATAATAAAAACAAAACAAAAAAACAGAGAATAACTGATGGACAAAGGGGAGAATAGGATATCGTGAAATTAGAATCTTTGTGTATTGCGAATAAATGTAGTTACGATATTATATAGTTTATTCATTTCTGTAACGTTTAAAGATGGTGCAGGTTTTAAAAAGAGTATGTGTTCGAGTGTAACGGTATCGTTTACTAGAGTATTCAAGTCATTTTATACTTATGTCTTGGCTGGTGGCTTTACTAACGTCAATCGCATTTTTCAACTTCATTAGTGGCTACCGTAAAAAGATCTAATGTAGTAGTTGAGAGATTGAGCTTATCAAATGGAATATCTTTGTCATACTCGGCCGTAGTACATATGGAGGCAAAATATTGATTAAGAACATATGCTTTCATTTTGTCGTCGAACCATTCCTGATTATTTTGATCTCTTAATTTAGAAATTTTCGAAGAGCGAGACTGTCGAAATACTGTTTTGACTAAATTCCACCATGATATTTTTGACGCATTATTCTGACGTATTTTTTCTAGATAATTTTCTTCCTCAACTTCACATATTTTTTCAAATGCGATAGCTACCTTTAAATACTTCGCTTTGGAAGATGCTAAGGAATTAGTTTGTTTTTGCCTTCTATATAAACGTTTTTTCTGTCGAGAAAGTTGTCTTAACTTTTGGGTAAATCATGGCTGATCTAATGAACATATACGAACTATTTTTGAAGGAACACATTTATCTACTGCATTCATTACACAATTTTCTAATACTATTACTTTTTCATTCACACGAGTTGAAATTGTAGAAGAGAATTGCAACAGTATCAAGCAGTTTTACTAATTCATGACGAAAATAGTTCTAGTCAGTAGCAGAGTAGTTATAAATTTTACGTGTCAATGACGGCGATCGAGTCGTATCAGTTGCAAGCACAACTCTGGCAATCTTATGGTCACGATTTTCGCACGAAACGTCCTCAACTTCTACGTTTTTTATGAAGGTAGTAGAACTAGTGAGTACCGAGTCAAGCACTGTTTTTATTATGCCATCCTTGCTAACTCTCGTAAGTTCTTTGACTAATTGTTTGAAATTGAAAGTCTCAGAAAAACCACAAAACTTTTTGTCAGCTGCTGTTTCTGGATGCGAATTGCACCAGAGATCACTATGTGCATTGAAGTCCTCTACCAAAATTACACCATCAAAAGATCCCATTTCGATTACATCACAAATAGTATCGCACAAAAATTCTATATATTCTTCAGTTTCTGCATTTGAAAGATCCGGTGATCGATAATTCACTGTAAAGAAAATCTTTCCTATTTTAGGAAGTGAAATTTCGACATACATAATTTCAAAACTAATGCCTTCAATAGCAGAAATTCTTTTGACTTTCAAATGATCTTTGTGATACAAGAGACATCCACCACCTTCGCGGTCGCGGTCTAAGCGATGTAACGTATAGCCACGCATTGTAATGTCTTTAGCTGTTATCGACGAGCTGCCTCCTTTTTTTTGCAACAATGAAAAAGAACTTTATCAATGTGCTGTGTACCACATCATTTCTTTTTTACGAAAACAAATATTACCGATAACCGGCAGCGATTAATTTTCGCTGGTAATCGACTCGAAGACGGTTTTAAACTGAGCGACTACAACATCTAGAAGGAGAGCACACTCCACCTCGAGGTGGAGTGTGGAGGAGGTACCTTCTACTTTGATTCTGAGCGACGCCCACCATTCAAATCTTTCAAGATCTCGTCACTTATTGCACGATCGTATAAGACCTTGTCACGAGCAGAGTGTCCAAATCTCCTGATCTGACCACCCTAGAGATCAAATCTTATATAAGATTCCTATAGGAATCTTACAGAGTATCTGCAAGAATCTTATAAGAATCTTATAAGGCAGTCGATGGAAATGCGTAATTTATGTATAAGAATCTTATATAAGAAACTGATAAGATTTCTATAAGATTCTTATCAGAATCTTATAGTACGATGTGGTCAGATATAGTACGATTTCATCACGTTCTTTAGTGGTCAGTACTCTATATTCATTCTATTTTCATACTATAATCAATCTACTGTTTCATTCGTGAATAAAATAATTTTCTTTCCGTTTATTTAATTTTTC